CCGACTCCTTCTTCCCTGCCCGGCAACAGCAAGATGGAGGCGTACAGCGGCCAGCTGGGCTCCTTCCCCAGCTCCCAGTTTCAGTATGTCATGCAGGCAGGCAACGCTGCCTCCACCTCCTCCTCCTCACACATGTTTGGGGGTGGCCACATGCAGCAGAGCTCCTACAACGCCTTCTCCCTGCACAACCCCTACAACCTCTATGGATACAATTTCCCCGCTTCCCCCAGGCTGGCGGCAAGCCCGGAGAAACTCACCACCTCCCAAAGCACTTTACTCTGCTCTTCCCCATCTGGCGGGGCCTTCGGAGAGAGGCAGTACCTTTCCACGGGGATGGATCACGGGATGCACATGATCAGCCCTCCCTCTGGCAACCAGCAGACAGCCAACGCCTGTGACAACAGGCAGTATGGTGCGGTTCAGGGCTCCTCCTCACAGATGTCTGTGCACATGGTCTAACAAGCTGTGCCTCTCCTCGGCATCAAAGGCAGCTGGACCTTCATCGTTTCCGGGGGTAAACCCATCCCAGTACCGTTTTGCCTTCAAACTTGTAGTGGAACTAGTATTGGAATGATACATAAGAACATAAGCCACCTAGGCATGCACCACAGAACCTTGTGGGAAGGCTTGACTGACAGCCATTGCAGCTTGTTGTGCCCCAGGGCCTCCACACCTGGCACGGAGCACCTGCTCTTTCTGGACATTGCAGAGAGAAGGGCATGACTTTAATGAGAAGCTGGAGAGAAGCAGCTGAATATACCGTTTATGCATTAACTCTCGGCTTGTGTGAGCTCTCAGCATGGAGGGAGCTGTGCCCCTGTGCTGTGTCCCCCGGGTGTCAAAGGAAGGCAGTCTCCCAAGGCTTCGTCCTCTGAAGCTGCATTGCCCATAGCTTTAAAGACCTCCCCATTCCCAGCCCGTTCCTCACTGATGGAGCAGCTCAGCCCGTTTCTGGAGCCAACAGTGGCCTGCGGCTCCTTCTCCCGCTGTAGCCCGGGAATGGGGCTGCCGGGCTGGAGCTTCTCCTCCCAGGAATGCTTCTGCATTTTCACCATGGCTCTGCCCAACGAGGGGTTTCTTTGCAAGGGTCAAGTTTGCCAGCACCCAGCCTGCAGATGGAGGTGGGAGAGACAGAAGAGAGAGGAAAATGTTAACGTGCAAGTGATCCTCAGCCACAAGCAGGGACTGATCTTCGGCAAGATGCCTGGGGGAGAGGGGGCCCAGCTCCTGCTGACTTGACCCAAAGTGATGCACCCAAACTGAAAGGACGTTGTGGGGAACGTGTGTCCCCTGGCACTCAACCTAACGTGAGGAAACTGTCTAGACTGAGTTCATGGGGGAGCACATAGAGAAGGGAGAGCTCTGCTCTCTAGAAGTGCAGCTGGCCTCCCTCACCTTGCATGCAAGAGTTGCCATGGAAATCTAGCATTTGGAAACATGGAAAATTAGCATTTCAGTATCAGTGAGGTCGAGCAGTCGCCAGCCTCCTGCCTGCCACATGATCTCAGTTTAACCAAATAGATCATTGCCTTTTGACATTTTTCCTTTTTTTTTTTCCTTTTTTTTTTTTTCCCCCTTCTCTTCTGTTTTTTTTTTTCCTTAAAATCCTTTAAAAATAAGAAAACAATTGTAGCTTGGTGCAAGCTATGCATTTAAGAAGTTGTGTGAAAATGCAAATACCAAGTAACAGAATACAGATATTATTGAGATTTGTTGTGAGGTGTTGTAGATAAATGTATTTATATGCCTAGTGGGGAATTCAATATAATGAATATAAAAGAGGGCAATAAAAATGGTATGTAAAATATGTATGAAGAAGAAGGTGTATAGAGATTTGCCCTATGCACGGAACTCTGTTTCTAAGTGCCAAGCACAGAATGCGCTAAATAAATCTTTGCAATTGTTCCCTCTGTGTTCTTCTCTGTCTGTGAGGCTTCAGTGCTTTTCTGGAGACAGACACCTCCAAAATGTTTGCACAACAGAGGGGATGAAGACACGGTGCTAAAAGGTAAAGTCCAGGCAATATTACCATAAAAATAAAAAATTCTGTCTTCTAAGAAATCTTAAAAATCGAGTGCTTGGGATCTTTAAGGTGCCTGTCTTGACAGGAAATGTGTCTGAAGGACAGCTAGGGTTGTTATTTTGATTGTTGAAGTCTAATAAAAGGCTCTTCAACATCACTTTTCAGAGTCAATATAGAAAATAATACTTAGGAATAAAAGTACAATTCGTTTCTCGTTTTTAAATGTTGCTTTGGGGTATGTGTCAGTTTTTCATTTGCACTACATTTCTGATATGAAATCGAGACCTTAACACTGAAAGCAGGGGGGAAGCTGAAGCCCCTCCCAGACCTGGCTGTAAGTTATGGCTGCAGAGTTTGCAGCTTTCCTCGTGCCAGTAAACTTTTCCTTTTTTCTTTCTGAATAAAAAAAAAAACACAACTCACCAGGAATTTAGAATGACCTTGAAAGAGAAACACTGCAAGCATTTCTTAATTTTTAAATTTTTTTTTAATTTTTTTTTTAACAGGGGAAGATAATACACCCATATCATTCCCAGTTCTTTACCCAGACTGTCCAACTGTATTCTGGCTTTTATTGTGTCCAGCCATGGATGCTGCTGAAAAGGGTTAGAAGGACTATGCATGGCAGAGAATCTGTCCTTCCCCTTGTTGTCTTCTGGTTTTATCCTAGTTAGTTAATTCTTGGTTTGATCTTGAAACTGGGAGTTTTATACCCTTTCTAAAATTCTTTCAGAATCTTTCCAAAATATTCTTCCATCTGTGCTTTGAGGTTTGCTGTGCTTTTGGGTTTGACTCCAATCCCATGGCAACGATTTTGACAGGTTAATAGTATGTTATGTGAACCAGTATTTCCTTCTGCTGGCTATTTGCATTAGATTGCTCTTCCTTATTCCATTCAGTTATTTGTGAGAAAGTCTGCATTTCAGCTAAGAAGAGAATGTGATTCAGCAAAATAAGGATCATTATTGATATAAAAATAAATGTTTCTGATTTTTATTAAAACAAACATAAAAACTTCATCAACAGTGATGGCTGGAAACACTGAGGAAAGCAAAAGACGTGTAGGGCATAACCTTCAACATGGGTGTGAAGAGATGGAATCACTGTTTCCATGCATTTTAGTAGGAATCCATGAGGAAGAGCTTTGAAATTGTTGCCTGGACTCTTCAGCAATATGATCCTTCAAGATACCGAGCACCCTGTCACTGATCCAACCGAGCTCTTCAACATACTGAGGTAATAATATTATCCATCCGATTGCTGTCAGTATGAAACTTATTGACCTCAGGGAGTGCAGTTATTGACTATATTTTAGATATATTTATTTAACCCTTATATGGCACATACATAAAATGAGAAAGCTTAGCTAGCTAGTTATTTATTCATCTTAGCATATGTCTAAGTGTTTGGTTGGTTCAGGATCAGAATATTCAGCAGCAAGGCTGAAAAAAGAACAGGAAAAAAAACTCTGAGAGAGGCTTCCCTGTCACAGGATGTAAAGTTCTACGTACACAAATATAGTTTGGTGTGAAAGTTACACTGCCAGTCTATAATAACAAAATAATAGTGAATTGGGGAAAAAACAGTAAACTCTTTCCTTGGTTGTCTCTGTGCAAAGTCAAAGTAAAGCAGGGTTTGGAGGGCAGTAGCAATAACAACAGACTAAAGCATGTTGAATTTTTTAAATTAGTGTTTCATTAGGTGCGTAGGTCAAATCATAGAATCAGAAAGTTTTGGGTTGGAAGGGACCTTAAAGATCATCTAGATCCAACCCCCCTGCATGGGCAGGGACACCTCCCACTAGACCAGGTTGCTCTGAGCCCAGTCCAACCTGTCCTTGAACACTTCCAGGAAGGGGGCAGTCACAGCCTCCCTAGGCACCTTGTTTAAGTGTCTCACCGCCCTCATTGTAAAACATTCCTTCCTGACATCTAACCTAAATCTACCCAGGATAACCCTCCTCTGAGCAGACAACATACTCAAGGCCGTGACACAGCCCCAGAAACACAAGGTGAGCACTGAATCTGAGGTGGACCCAGCTATGACAGAGGTATCCCATGTACAACAGCAGCTTTTCTCCCCCCGCCACGTCTGTAGGGACACAGGGCTCTGAGCCATTTGCCACTTTTTACTGGAGGCTTCCCAGAGAAGGGGTGATGCGATGGCCAATGGGTGCAGTGCACCAGGGCCAGGCTGGGGGACCAGCCATGGGACCAGCTGTCCTGGTGGGCATCCCAGGTTGTGCTACACACAGCAGCCACCCCAGGAAGACTCCCTTTCCTTGGGTGATAGCACAGGCCTTGTGAGCCCTCTCAACAGGGTCATGCAGTTATCCAGGAGACCTTTGATTGCTCATTTGCAGAGCATGTGTGTGTGGTGGGCGGAGGCAGCAGCTGTTTAGTTCCTCTCCTCTTCCTTCCTTCCCTATTCCACCATGAACCTTTGAACCTCTTGGCCAGCTTTAAGCAGCTTTGATAGTGTGGTCACAGTCACAAAGTTTTAAGTTCTCATGTGTTTCTTCAGAAGAGACAGGGGAGGAGGACAGGGCCCTTAGTCATTTTCCCAGTGCAGGAAAGATCAGCTTGTGACATCTCAAAGAAGCCACACAAGGAACAGGTATCTTGCATGCATGTACATTATGTATCTCTCTGAAGAAGTACCCTTTTATAAAAGTCTAATCCAAATGCAGTAAGGTTAGTGGAAATCTTAATGACAGGAGATCCCTCACCTTGCAGCACAGGCTCTTCCAAATGCAAACCTGACATCATGTTGCACAACTGAGAAGAATGGGGCAAAAAAAACCAGAGTGGGTTTACAGTTTGCTTAGCTTCATTACTTAACACACTGACAGGCACAGGACATCAGTATTGCTGTGGCCATAGTCACTGCAGCTCAGCAAAACCAGGACATTGCATCCCAGTGTGCCATAGTGTTCTTGGCAGGTACTATGTGCTAAAGCAAAATGCTCAGGGCACAAACACAGATACTAATTAGACACACAGCCCATGGCATGTTCCATGGACTTCAGCAAAAGTGAAAGCAGAGGATCTGCTAGTGTGGCTGATAAAGCCTTACTGATGGAGGTGAGGGCTGACAGGTAGCAATTTGCCTTAAAAAAATCCCCCAAACAACCAAAACCGAAAGTGTTCAGATATTTTGTTTCCCCAGCTCAACTGGGCGCAGGGACCCAGAGCAGACACCCCATGTTAGACTAGCACTAGCAGATGAGTTGTGCTGGGTGCTCCTTGCTGAGCATCGTTGTAAACAAAACAACAACAACAACATGAAAGTTCACCCAAGGACTGGGCAGAGGACGCCTGAGCACGCCAGTTACATGCTGGGGATGCACTAGGAGTGCAGCTATAAAAGTAGTGACAGGAATTTGTGAGGAGGGTGCTGGTGTGGCCAAGGGGTAATTTGCTATAAATAAGCCAGCTCCTATCC